CGGTCCCGTTAGTGAGGTTCGCATAACATCCAGAGTCTCGACGGAGCCGTCACAAGGCAGATACCAGCAACAGTCGACGACGAGGAGCGACGCCGCGAAGGACAGCGACGAGGAGCGACGCCGCAGAGGACGACGACGAGGAGCAGCAGCAGCTGAAGAGCCGCGAGGCTTGTACAAGGAGACGAATAAAGACAGTTACGATCCCAACAGAACTCTTGCGGTATTCATTGGTCAAAGGCAATCACCCAAAATAAATTTGGTGGAACGAACCCATAACCTCTCTGAGCTAGCCGCCCGTTAACGTAGCGAGCGAGAATACATAGAAATCAGGTCGTTACAATAGGCGTAGTGCTTCATATTTTGGTGTATATTATCGATACCCAATATATATATGTGGTTTGGTCTTCTTTCTTTTGTTTGAACAGTTGGTCCAATAATTTTTTCGCCAGCTTCATCAATTTCATAAATGTTTATGCTGAAGTCCGCATTATTTTTCTCAAAATGTCTTACACCAAGTTTATCGATTGGAAATATAATTCCCGAAAAATTCAACGTTATTCCGTCATATATAATAATTTCATCATTGATGTTAATGTTGTAGTTTTTTGGTTTTGTCATTTTTTCTCTTGAATATTTCCTTTGTTGTGGTGTTGAGAAACGAGCATTCTCATGGGCTTTATTTGCTATAAATGCTAGTATGCACCACTTAAAACAAAATACGTCAGTATTTTGAACGTTTATAAGCGCATTTCGGGCTCTTATTTTTTTAGGAGCCTGTATGTAACCGCTAGCAGGAATATTTTCAAGTTTTATAATGGTGGTTTCAAAATAGTCAAAATTTTGAATAGCCCAGCCAGAGTCTTTTTCTTGGAATTCACTGCTCAATGTTAGTAAACATTATATTGCAGAATTCAGCTCATTTACAATATCTTCATAAATGTATAAAGATTTGTATGCAGTTCTAAAATGCTTTATTGTGCTGTCTCTCCGTCATCTCTTTGTTTTACATATGTACCATATACACTCAAATTAAATTTTATGGCTCGATAATATATCATACAATGCTTTATAATTTCAATTATATTTTTTTGACATTGTTGATAAAATTCATTTAAGTCTATCATATCTTTGATTGCACAATCAATTCGATATAATAGTATATATCGTATATATATAATAATAGTCTCTGCTGTGAGCAAAATAATATTTTCATTATTTTTAACTTCTCTGGTAGAAGCGTTTTTATGCTTGTCTGTCAACATATGTTGACGTTCCCTGGTTGACATATACTGTTCACCACAAGTAGGACATAAAAGTTCTATTCTTTGTTCAATACGACTTTTTTGGGGTTACTGGACTGATGTTTCTCCTTATCCTCCTCCGCTCTCAATCGCTTTAGGGCATTAGCCGAATTTGTAGGTTGATCCTCTGGAGCATTAGCCGGAATTTCCGGTATGTCATCTAGGACATTATCTGGAGTTTTAGAGCGGTTTACTAGTTGATGAATTGATCGCTTTTGATGTTCTTTCCGGTTCCCTCCAGCCATTAAAACGTTGAAAGCATTTCGCGGTCCTTTACAGTTGCGGTAGTGGGCGTCAAATTCATAATTTTTTACAAGGGTAGAACATAAGTCACACCTCTTTCTTTTCGTATTCGACATTAAAACGTCGAAGGCATTCCGAGGCATAGAACACTTGGAATAATGAGCTTCAAACTCACTAAGCTCAATATCTTTGGAACACAAATCACAAGCAATTGATAACTCCATTTTGATATGGTTTTTTTTTGTTTTGTTTTTTTTTTGATAAATTGTATTATATATTTTTATATTTTATATAATAATTTGTTTTAAACAACGATTTTTTTTTCACAGATAGGGGTTTAAACCGTAACAAACTAAATCTTATTGGTACACGCGATATCTCGAACCGGTCCGGATGAAATTAAATTTTCAGAATGCAGTACTGAGGCATTTGAAGAACTGATCCTGAGCAATTTGAGTGGTGTCATTTTTATAGTCTAGAATGTTCACTTAACAGTTTGACATATACAGGGAGTGCATACAGGTATGTTTTACTCCTAGAACCAATCCGATTGGTTCTTGAATATAGAAACCCGCCCAGACACCTGTCTAATGGATATCAGAGGTCAAATCAATACAAGGATGGATAACAAGCTATCGGGTGGTGAACGTGGTGTAGGAGGGTTCAGGTTGTAGGTAAATATTGATGGTGTATCAACCTTGTCCTTAGGTTAGGGTCAACATTTGCTTAAGATGTTGCATTGCAACCATGGACATTTCCCAAAGCCTTAAGCTGAAAGTATCTGGAATATGCAGGAGCGGGGGGTTTTTAACGGTTTTATAATCAGTTGAATTTTTTCCAAATGCATTCACATACAAATTTCATAATCAGTGTACATGATATCCGATGGAACTCACTCGTTTTATTTGGTTTCTAAATATTCTCGCCAAATGTTCGGACCGATCCTTATCGTTTGAGAAAATGTACAAGAAAGTGAACCCACATACCCACGTACTCTAATCTCAACCCCCATCCACTTGTGCGTCCTCAGGACTGCTTGTGCGCGAAGGTGTGAAAGTGAGAAAGGGTACGAGAAAGTGAACCCGCATACCCACGAACTCTAATCTCAACCCCCATCCACTTGTGCGTCCTCACGTCTGCTTGTGCGCGAAGGTGTGAAATTATAATTTTGATAGTTTTGATCAAAAAGAGTATTTTTTAATTAAGAATCGTGAAAAGTATACAAATTTCTTACAAAGGAATTAATAATATGTATAGCTGAATTACAAATTTTACACACACTTTATAAAGTATGCATATGATATATTTGTTCATGTTCATTTTCATTATTTAGGACTCACATCGATAATTTTACGTCGAAGTGTACATTTGAAATCTTCATACACTTCAAACGGAACTTCTAGTTGATGATGCAGTGTCGTGTTCTTCGATTTATAACCATTCCCGTTCATTATACAGTCCTCTTTTTGAAGTCATTTGCCTATTAAATAAAAGAAAATATAACAAATAATGAAACATAATAAGTTAAAGTTGAGTATAACGACTAAAATTCCATCTCGTTAAAGGAATATTATATTTATATGCGTCGGCTTCTCCACTCCAGATTGATAGAGAGGACCAATCATACTTTGACTTTCCTCGTCGTATTCGAATATGTTAATGATCAGTGTTACGTTTTTCGCATGAAAATGCTTACATTTTTTATTTTAATAGGGAATGTTAATTCACTAGACAATGTCAATTCCATACACCAAAAAAATTCTCTCCTCAGTAATATCAATACATATGTTGAGCATCTACTAAGGTAATTTGAAAAGTTTGTTAATGCCGAAATCAATATTCATTTAAAACAGTCAGAGCCATTGTTATTATGAACATAAATTAGTACCCTCTTTATTATATTGATTGAAGTTCATTTCTAAACGAACTATGCCTAGTCGGCATAGTCCACCCGCTATGCCTTTCCTGAAACGCTTCCATTTTCTTTGTTATTTGGACTGAGTGTTTGGTATATATATGTTGTAAATCCGAGTTATTTGTTACAGCTTCCATTTTGCTTTGCAATTCTTTGATGTCCGTTGATGTCCTCTTTCTCAAGCATACTCTATATTATGAAAAAATAGCTGAAAATTTACTTTACTGGAAAATAAATTTGAAGTACAGAAGGCAGATGAATTTTAAAGCCTCTCCTGCTTCGTAACGGAATTCTTCAGATCTTAGACTCTCCTTCATTTACATACATATAGTGAAATTTTCGTCCCTTGAAACCATCCAAAATCTTTTCAATTCATCCATCCAGCGATTGCATAGCATTCAGCTCGTGTTCCTCAGTGCGAGCATGGTGATTCCATTGTACTCTTACCGGAATCAATCGACGACAGGATTAACAATATTTTTGAGCTTGCATACTCGTTTTTTTAATAATATCTTTCTTTGTTTGTTTTGTTATGTAAACTATTTATTAAAATATATAATTTTATTTGTACGAGGATACTTCACAGTCACAATATAGGAGTTGATGTAAAACTTTAAAAGTACTACTTTAAATAAAACTTTGAGACTCATTATTAAACTTGAAATGAGCTAAGATCAAGTTTCTGTAATATGCAACTTTAAGTTGTAACGTTTTAATTAGTTGATGAATACATCTTAAATTTAGGTTTAGAAACTCAAGCTTAAAGATTTTCCTTGGATAATAAAAACATCTCCTTAAATTTATGAATATAAATTCGATTTGAAAAGTTTCCATGGGATAGGGAAGATTGGTGGAGGAGAGAGAAAGTAACTTGCTCAATATAAAGAGGAAGTGGAAGTGGTCAGTGTCTAGCTACAAATATTTGACTACTTGGATTAAACAAACTAAAAACATTAACTGAAATGTTGAAAAATAGTTGATTGCGTGGGAAGGTATGGTGGTGGTGGAAGAAAGCATGATCCTCACTTTGAAAGGGTGATAAATGTGAAAGGGCTCCAGTTCAATTCCAAAGTCCTTTGAGTTCGTTAATACCTTTGCGTTCGTTAATATAAGCAGCAGCAGCAAACAAATATAAACTACAACATATAAACAATAATGACTAACAAAAACAATATTGTATGTGAAGATATAAAAGGATTCCTCAAAGAATTTGGAGTGGTCATGATCAAGGAACTTCGGTCTACCTTGGAAGTGCTTTACAATAACATTAGCTGGATTAAGAACGTTGGTGAACGTAAATCAAAATTCATATGCTATTATGCCCCTGGGTCGACGATGATGTTAGTGAGGGACCGGATACGTGTCAATGCCACTAGCACCAAACCTTAGGTTGAAAGCCATGGATATAATGCGAAAATATTAGAATCTTAGCTTAAAAATGATAAACAAAATACGAAATAAGGAAACTTAAGTTTTTTAACAAATATTTGTTAACAAATTTATTTTTTACTGTAAAAGCAAAAATCATATAACATTTTTTAGTCAAAGAATAAAAAAAAATTTTAAAACTGAAATTTGAGTGAACATGTTATTGGGTAGTGCTCAGACATAGAGTCCCCTATTCAAGAGGTGGGGGTGTTTCTTTTCAGTGACAAGAGGGTTTTTGTTTTCAGATCAACATTTAGTGTCAAGCAAAGGGTCCCCTAGGCAGTTTAAAATTAGTAAAAATAAACCCAATCCGAGGGAAAATAGTCCGGTGCAAGTAAATTCATTCCACCAGGCTGAGCTAGTACCTTATTTATCGATTGACTGATATGAATTAAATATAGATGTATGGTAATGATGACTTACTTAATACATTCCAGGATATAGTTTCATCTGGAATAATACCGGCGCCACACAGAAAAACTCCAAACACAACAAACACAATTGAAAATTTAATACTATTTTGTATTAACAACGCGAAAAACTTTGTGAACGCAGTAGTTCTGGCGATTTTAATTTGCGAAAAATTGTGAAACTATGTCGAAAGCGCGACGAAAGGGAGTGGCTACGATGATGTTCGATGGATCACTAACAATTATATTTCAATAATTTCTCTTAGAACCTAACTTATGCTACGGTGGCGAGAGACGGGGCGAATTCGCAAGAGCGAACAGACGAAAGCTTTATTGGCTCCCGCTCTCGCCCTACAACTAGTGATTTACATGCAAGCGCTGAGTGCGCAAACACCGCCCCCTCTGAAGGGACGACGTCCTTCAGCCCAGAACGGGCAACAGGGCCAGTCGGTGAACAGCTCGCCGATATTCGCCGTCCTGCGTCCTGACGTCCGCCACGCGAACCTTGCTATCGGCGCCGGCGTGCACCGCTACCACTCGTCCGATGCTCCACTGCTGGGGCGGAAGATTGTCTTCTGCGACGACGACGAGCGCTCCCACGACGAGGTTGGGCTCCCCCTGGTGCCACTTGGACCGCTGTTGGAGGCTGGAGATGTACTCCCGGGACCATCGCTGCCAAAACCTGTGCCTGAGAGACGAGACACCTCGCCATCGTCGCAAGCAGGTCAGGCTGATCTGGCCCGGGACCGCCGCTGATGGTGGGGCCAGAAGAGGGCCGCCGATGAGCATGTGCCCGGGGGTCAGGGCCTCGCCGTCGTTCGGGTCGCTGCTTAGAGCGCCGAGGGGCCTGGAGTTGAGCACGGCCTCCACGCTGGTGAGCAGAGTTCCGAGCTCCTCCGCGGTCAAGAGGTCTTGGCCTACCGTCCGAAGGAACAGGTGCTTTGCAGACTTCACACCTGCCATAGTCCGCCGAAGTGCGGTGCTCTGGGCGGTATGAACGCAAACTCGCATCCTTTTTTGATGCGAATGTTTCGATACCGCCCCCTGCTCCTCCAGACGGGCTCGGAACTCTCTCATGTGGCGATCTGCGCCGACGAAATTGGTGGCGTTGTCGCACCACACCTTCTCCGGAATCCCGCGACGACTCACGAACCTTTGAAATGCCAACAAGAACGCATCAGTGGTTAGGTCAGACACTAATTCTAAGTGGACCGCTTTGGACGCAAAACAGACGAACAAGGCCACGTACGACTTGTACGGTGGCTTACCACGGATACGATACGTTGTGCTGAAGGGACCACAAAAATCAACGCCACAAATATTGAACGGGCGGAGAGCTCGAAGTCTATCTGCTGGCAAGTTTCCCATAATTTGCGTCAAAAGTTGCGGCTTACAGCGAAAGCAGCGCATGCACGACCGAACTGTTCGTCGGCAGACTTCTTGAGCATTAACTAGCCAGATTTTCTCGCGCAGACGACTTACGAGAGCTCGTGGGCCAGCGTGACAGTTCGTAACGTGCAGGTATGACACATAGGATCTGACGAACTGTGAGCTTTTAGACAGCAACAACGGGAATTTGGCTTCGTACGGGATAGGAGCATTCAATAACCGACCCCCAACTCGTAGCAATGTCGAGGAGCACCAGTCCAATTTATTTTCCTGAAGAAAAGGGTTTAACTTTTGAATATTCGTTGCTACCGGTTTATTCTTCCGAATTTTACTTATGTCGTCCCTGAACTCGTGAAATTGGACAACTTCGACAATTTTATCAAAAGCAAAATCCAGTTCTCTTGGCGAAATACTTTTTTCAAAGGGCTTCGACACCTTTCTGCACCTTTGAATAAAACGAAAAACCCACACGAAAACTCTCAGAAGCTTCAGGTGCGACGAAAAGGACTCTATTTTCTGAAGCACATAATTTGGCTCTGGGCTGACTACGAGAGCTATTGCCGATTTGCGTAGCTCCATCGCCATTACATCAGCCGGCAGTTCGAAATGTTTATTTACAGGCCAATTATTTTCTGAGTCTAGCAAGAACGAAGGCCCACCGAACCAAATGGACGTTGTAAGCTCCTCTACGTCACATCCTCGGGACACTATATCTGCTGGGTTGACTTTCGTGGGAACGTGTCTCCAAATTGCTTTCTCCGACCACTCCTGAATTTCTGCAACCCGGTTCGAAACAAAAACCGACAACGACGAGGGAGGGGTTTTAATCCAGTGTAAAGTGATCTCGGAGTCTGTCCACAGGAAAACATTCTCAATGGGAGAATTTAGCAATGGCCTGACACGATTATAGAGATCTGCTAAAAGGTGAGCTGCACACAGCTCAAGGCGAGGCAAAGTTTTCGTCTTGAGGGGAGCTACTTTCGATTTGGCGGTCAGTAAAGACACTTTCAAACCTTCAGCAGTTTGAGTCCGAACGTAGATGCACGCTCCATACGCTCGCATGGAAGCGTCAGCGAAACCATGTATTTGAATCGGGACTTGTGGATCTGTGTTGACGAATCGCGATACCTTAATTTTAGGCAGCTGCAGAAGCGTCGCTTTAAACGTCACCCACGACGTGAGCAACTGCATCGGTAGCGACTCGTCCCAATCTAATTTTCGAAGCCACAGTTCCTGCAACAACATCTTTGCCTTTGTGACCAAAGGACACATGAGGCCAAGTGGGTCGAAAAGTCGAGCAGTCACCGACAAAATATTTCGTTTTGTCGCGCGAAGATCCAGGAAAGAGTCATCCAACCGAAATTGGAAGTAATCTTTAACCGGTAACCAAACCACGCCAAGGGTCTTGGTTACGTCTGAGTCTGCCATAAGTGGCATTACAGCGCTATCAGATGCGGATAACTCTGGACAGTTTGAAAACCACTTTGCCAATTCAAAGCATGCCTCTTGCAAGACCTGAGAAACTTCGTCTCGAAGGCTTTGCAGGTCCTCAACGCATCCGGCGCCAGTCAACAAATCGTCAACATAAAAATCATTCTGAATAACCTTTGCGGCTTTTGGATGAGTTGCTTGCGCCATCTCTCCTAGCCGCATTAAACACCGAATCGCCAAAAGGGTGCTGGCGAAGTTCCATATGTAACGGTGTTCAACTTAAAGATTTTCAGGGACTCAGAAGGATCTCGTCTCCATACTATAAGCTGGAAGTTACGATCAGCTTCGTCCACCATCACTTGGCGATACATCTTTTTGACGTCGGCCGCAAGGGCAAACTTATGCAATCTAAACCGAAGCAGAGTCGAGTACAGCTCCTCTTGAATAGTTGGGCCTACCATCACGATGTCATTCAACGCTACCTGCGTAGAAGTACGGCTCGATGCATCGAAAACTACTCTCAACTTAGTTGAAGTACTTTGTGGCCGTAAAACGCATTGGTGCGGAATGAAATAGTGCGGAGTATTCGGAATTTTGTCATTGGTGGAAGACATGTGGCCCAGTGAAACATATTCCTCCATGAATTCAATATACATCTTCTTCAGCGAAGGGTCCTTTGACAATTTCCTTTCTAGCGACAAAAATCTACGTTTCGCAACTTCGTATGACGAACCAAGATTTGGGTCAGATTTAAACGGCAAACGAACCGAAAATCTACCGGACGACAATCTTTGAGTATTTTTCTCAAAGTGTTGTTGACAGAGTTGTTGCTCAGGAGTATGGACTTTAGCCTTGGGCGGCAAGTCCTCCACAGACCAAAATTTCTGCAGGGTTGTGTCAATTGACTCCAACGCTTCCTCCTGGCAGCTGAGATGTACCATTTTTTCAGCGTTTTTATTATTTTCAGAGGCACATCTGCCTGACACTATCCAGCCGAGAACTGTCTTTTGTAGGATGGGGAATTCAGGGCCCTGCTTTATCTGGCCAATCGATAAAAGTTCAAAGAATGTTTCAGCGCCGATAAGCATATCTATTTTTTGGGGCTTGAAGAAGAATGGATCTGCCAACTGAATATTTTCAGGCACCCTCCACCCGCTGGTGTTCACCGCTTGATCGGATGATAACCAGAAATATTTTTCATAATCCAAAAATCGGACGACAATTGGCTGTTCCCTACTCGCGACTTCACAATCGTGTGTATTTTTTGTGGCTTGGGCATTAGTTCCACCAATGCCTCGCAAGCTCATGCACACGTCCTCTCTTGTAATTTTGAGCCTCTGAGCGAGCTCGTCGGTTACAAAGTTTAATTGTGAACCAGAGTCGAGCAACGCTCGAGCTAATACAAACTCGCCGCTTTTTGTTTGGACGCTCACAACAGCAGTTGCAAGAATGACTCGATCCGATGCATTCGTATGCAAAACATGCGAAGTGGATGGAGACTCCTGCATGAGCGTGGGCTGAGAAGGAGGTGGCAACGCGAGATTTGTGTTTGGGGCATATATATGTAGCAAAGTGTGATGTGAGGAATTGCACACTCTACATCTGTTCGATTTGCATTTTTTGACAGTGTGACCCTTTCTTAAACAGTTAATGCATAAGGGTGCTCTTTTAGCGAAATCGAATCTTTGCTGAACTGTCAGGGCTGCGAAGGAAGCGCAGTTTCCAATCTGATGTTCAGCTGAGTTGCAATACATGCATTGAACAGAGTCGTTCCTGGCAGCGACAAACAAAAAACTCCTATTTCCATTCTTCTTAGGGTTAGATTGGGCCTGCGGAACAGTTTTAGGCTTGGAAGCCTCTTCTGCTACCATGTGTTGGTAACGCCTGTTGAGGGCCGCCTCACATTCGCTCCAAAGTGGAAGCGAAGTATAATCTAACTGTTCTTCCCATTTTCTTTTAGTTCCTGCATCGACCTTGCTCATTACCAGATGTATTAAAATGGCATTAGTAATGCGTCTATCATCCCCAATAGACAGCAATGAGTCATACAAGGCTGTGACCGTGTCGATGAGGGTTCTCAAGGCTGTAGCTGAAGGCTGGGAAATTTTTTGCAAATTAAAAAGTGTCGATATGTTGTCAAAAAAAATAAGACAATCATTATCGTACACCCGCTTCAGGCTAGCAAGGGCTTTGGGATAATTTTCCGCAGTAACTTGGAAGGCCCTAACTGTTCCTAAAGCGTCTCCAGCTAAACACGAAATTAAATGATTGAATTTTTCAATATCGTGTAAAGTGTCATCTTTGTCAACGAAAGTTTCGAAAAGGCTTATAAAATTTTTAAATTCGGAGTGTTTTCCGCTAAAAGTTGGGAGAGCAACGCTCGGCAGACGGCATTGAGGCGGGCGATTTGCTGGCGGAGCGGATTTCTCGATATTATTTTGTTTGGACTTATTTAAAATTGAAATCAGCAATGACTTTGTCATTACGGCCCTCTCTTCCAACTCTTCGCGGTATACATCTTTTGTATCTTTCACTTCTATTTGGTTTTGCAAAAGTAAAGCATTTTCAATGTGCGTATTTAGAATCTCTAATCGACACTCAAGCTCGACCGGATTTATAGATAATTTAGCTTCTTTTAAGTGGCGATAAGTTCGGTTAATACTTTTCATGCAGACATCTCGTTGATGTTTAAGCTCTTCGATATCCTTAGTTGCCATTGCGTTTATTTGTATTTATTTGGTTGGTATCGAAGAGGTGTTAAATATTTATTTTTATTAAATTATTTTTTTTTTTTTTTAAAATAATAAAATAAAAAATCAACGAGTACTATACCGATCGCACACGGTGTAAGGGAGCTAAGTGCCGAGAGAATTACAAAAAAATCTAAATAGGGTTTTTATATTTTTTATATAAACCCTGCGACAGTATATGCCGCACGCACGCACTGTAGGGGAGCTACCGCTCAAGCTCAAGCGTACCGAAACAACGAACAAACGTTTAGGCAGACCGAAAATTGCACTGCTGCAGCGATCGAGAACGAAAACGACAAAAGATAACTCGAAATAGCGGCAGCGGTGTCGGTGTGCGTGTGTATGTGTACGCGGCTAGCGGCTCTTCCTATGCAGATGCTAACGGAGAATGATACACTGACCGATAACTAAGGGCAACGAATATATAAGCCTGACGCCAAAATGCGCGCAAAATTATGAAAAGCGCGGAAAAATTGGAAAAGCGCGGGAAAATTCTGAAAAGCGCGGGAAATGTTCGGACAAACTGCAGCGAAAGTTATTGCCGCTAATTTTCTGAGAGCTACAATTTTCACAATTTGCACTTTTTCCAGCTATTTTTATTTATACCCTAAATTGGTGCTCACTACGACGAAAGTTGGGGGAATTAAGTTCGCACTAATTGGGTCGACGACGAGTATTTTATTGCTTGTTCTTTGGCCAAAGCGATTCACATATAATTCGAAATATATTATGTTTATTGTTAGTACATGCAAATTTTTATTTCTTGGTTCGAATGCTCACTATCTACCGATTTTTACACGAATGCAAAAAGTTGAAAGATGGGCCAAAACACAATTGACAAAACGCCACAGATTAACTTTCAACTTTTAACAATACCAATATGCAACATTCCAATACTGGTAACAACCTATACGATCAATTTAATAATTAATTTAATACTTTAATTTATTTACCAAAACTTAAACCTGGCTATCAAGCATTCCTGTACCAGTACTAGCCACATGATGGGGATGGTTATATTTGCGTCTCATAGATCCAGTTGGAGAATGAAAAGTTTCTCCACTCTCAGAGCTTTGTGTGCTGTAGCGCCTTTCTCGGGCTCTTTTTTGGTCATCTCGTCGTTTTCTTTGCCGCTTAATCGCCATAGCGGAATGAATGCCAACTGAATGCATTTTTTAATTCTAAAAAATAATTTTTGTAGCATACATTGGCAATGTTTATTAAGAAAATTAAGAAAATATGTTGGCAATGTTCTTTTTCTCGTCCGCACTGCAAAGTACCTTAACATGATAATAAGGAGGAAAATAAATTTAAACAGACGATAAATTGCTTTTCCATAAAAAAACAGCTGATAACCAATAGTATCAATACAATACAAACCAACTTAAAATAATGTTTTCTGAAATTGTCGAAGTAAAAATGATACAAGGAATAAAACACTTTCTCTTATAAATCAAAAAGGTGCCATCTACCTAGGCTAACGTGATCACGGTTGATTTATCTGGAAAATAGAAGTACAGACGAGAGTTCTTAGAAAATGTCAGATTCTAACGCTTTTTAACTTTTCAGTAAAAAATAAGGATACAAAAACATGAGTAAGTTTCAGCATACCCAAGGATATGTGAACTTAAAATCAGTGCTGATTTGGTAAAAACAAATCACATGATATTTTTAATATTTCATAATTCTGCTAATTCAATTGTAGTACATCAAGAACATCGGTTTGGGGATGAAGGTAACGGTTTAATAATCAAATAGAGAAAGTTGTCTGTAGTTCTTTAATATAATATCCGTATTTCCGTACACGATAAGGAATGATTTTTACTGCGGTTTACAGTTTTAGGCACCTTAACTTGACTCTAGTTTGTTTATATTGTATGAATCTGAGCACTTAAGGATATACAAGGCAAAACTGTGCTATTTTTATCAAAAGTGTTGAGAACTTAACAGTATTTTTAAGCTTTTAGGCTATCTTGTAAAAGGTGATATTTTTGTTTCCGACCTGTTCGATTACTTATCTATTTGCGTTGAAATATTTTTGTTTAAATTGTTCAACGCATACAAATGCTGTTATTTCTTTTAACTAATATATTTTAAACTATTGTATAAACAAAATATTCAACCAAATTTTTTTGTATAAGTGTGCCATTTTTTTGCCGCAGCTGTATGTTATTATATCAGTATTCTTGATCAGCATCACTACGAAAGTCGATCCGTCTAAGCGGCCGTTAGACTGTCCGATTCTACAAAGCATTGTCGCCAATTTTTGAAGCTAGCTGAATGAAAATTTACAAAAGTATTTTTTCTATTGCAGGTAGTATATAAGTCGGAAGGCTTCTTCGTTGCTTTTAATTAATTAAATACATACCACACGTACACAGCCAAAAAATTCCGCGAACAATTTGTACTTTTTCAAGACAAATGGGTGTTCCTAAGTGAACCAACCTATGTTTCATTAGCTAATGTGACCGCCGTATATTTAAAAATACGAAAACCCAATTTTCGGTGATATTTTGTTTTTTTTTGTTTTTGTTGCTAAACACTGTTGATGCCCTACAAACTTCAAACTAAGAATTTCTCCTACAAAACAGTCGAAGTTTAGGTGGCGTCATCTGTCGCACACCCAACCCAGTTTTTTCGTTTTGTCTCTCTACTTCAGCGATTATCGGCAAGCAGCGGCCCAACAGCGGCAGAGGGCGGCAGTGGAGCGGCAGAGCGGTAACTGAACGGCGGCAAAAGGCTTCAAAACCACAAGACTTCTAAAATATCACCTCGATTCTTAAAATTGTAGTGTCTAGCGATGGGTACGATCGAAACACACACAGAGTCCAACACCAATGGTCTAACATGTCTCAGAGCGACGTGACATACGTGTTAAGTGTTTTTCTATTTGTGGGCCTTAAAAATGGGCGTGACTCCGTTCGCTGCGTAGAAAAAACGTAGAAGATGCACGCCAAATCCCAAATCTCTAGCTTTTTTAGTTTCCGAGATTTCGACGTTCATAGTTCAGAATAAGCTGGTTTGTAAGTTCAGTCATAGAGTAAGAAATATATAGAGGCACCATTTGATCTGCCGCTCTCTCAAGTGACTTTTCCAGTTATGCCAGTGGGAAATCAAGTTTAGCTTCGAACATGGCTCTCAGAGGATCTTGGGCCGAGGTTCGGGCAGAGCAAATGGTGCCTCTTTATAGTTCTTACTTGTTTCACTTGTCAGCTCGTCATAGAGTAAGAACTATATAGAGGAACCATTTGCTCTGCCGCTCTCTCTCGAGACTTTTCCAGTGATGCCACCTAGATTAAAAAAAGGGGAAATCTTCAGTCTCTCACGGTTCGATTCGAACTTATAATTCGGTCCCGCGGTGAGTTTCTGCAGCTGAACTGCTCGCTCTCATTGCTAAGGGCTGGTGCGAGCAGTGCAGTTGCAAGTTCGCTGCAGGACGAATTGCAAGTTCGAACCAAAAACTAGAAAGTGGGGTGGGAAACCAAGTTTAGCTTCGAACATGGCTCTCAGCAAAGCTTGGGTAGAGGTTAGGGCAGAGCTAATGGTTCTTCTATTTAGTTCTTACTTTATGAGCTCGTGAAATAAACGCCCGCCCGGCCAGCACTATTTTTGAAGAAGTCTTCATTCTTTTCATTCCATCGCGATCGCCGAGTACTTTTCTTTTCACTCCCACATCAGGTCGCAACTTTTACCTGCCACCGAAAGCTGCCTATCAATAACTCTCCACCAAATCAAAATAAGTATGAAGTTTTTCTTTAAAATATTAATTGCTGGTCTGCAGTCAGCCGATCGAAATCATCGTTTCGTTTGACTTTCTGTACCATCTGTCTAGAATTCAAATTCGATTTAATCCGACAAAGGCAATTAAAAAAAAATCATCTTCTTTTTCCTTTTCTCTTTGACCGTGCGGCCATCTTAGTCCAAGTCAGAAGAAATACATAAGTACATTTGGCCGTACATCAAGGTTTAATTCAATACATCGCAAAATAAGTTCTAAGCAGTGAGAAGAATTCATCGAAAAGTTTATTATGTGCAAAATATGTTCCAAAATATAGTGAAAATTAATACCGATATTATTTTCAAGTGTTCCGCCAAAGTTAGCCCATAACTTCTTCAAATTATTTTTTTTGTTGAACTGTGTTTCTCCCTCAGTTAAAATATTATTTATACAAATTTATGTTCATAAATACAGTCGTATTTATACAGAAAATTTATGAATACATATTTTGTGTTCAGAACCAACATTATTTCATGCTTACAAATCTATTACGTCAATTTAACCATACCCTGCAGCTCTAATCGCTAAGATTTTGTAGGGAATCCCCCGGGACCGCCGCTAATTCCCGGGAACTCCCGAAGAATTATCAATACAGAACGGCGAGGAATTTTTATGAAGCCGGCGTTCACGGCGAGGAATTCGTAGTCCGGGAGTATTCCTGAGAGAATACTAGGGGAATTACTTTAATAAGCAATACATTTTTTTTTAATATAAACTTACAAATTTATAAATATCCCAGCACTATTTAAAAGGGTATTCCCTCCATCCATCCCTCTCTCTCACTTTCGGCCGCTGCTCCGAATCACTTCAAAATCGGCATCGGCAGAGGCAAAGCGGCGGCAGAATTTTTCTTGCCTATGTTGACATGTGTTTTTGATTTTTCCAACATGCCGCGAGGAAAATGCAGGGAAGGGAATTTCAGAACTACAAAGACCGCATAAGTTTCACATACATGCATTTACATATATGTTCTCGTATTTCTGAACAAATGCAGACATCTGCAGACGAAATGTAACGGTCCCGTCAAGTTATGTGCGTTGGCATGCATTTTTTTTGTTAACATATGCATTTTATTTATTGAATCTTCTTTGAATTGAGACTAACAATAAGCATATAAAATCTTAAATGAAATACTATATCTGACAGTCAGGATTTTTGATTAGGTTCGCTGGATAATATTGATGTTACTGCTGCTCGCGTTTCCCCACTATTGGGAGCCGTAAGTCCAGACTGGCTTAAGCGTTGAATTGTAGAGCAGGACCTTGAAGTCCAGGCAGAGGGGGGAGCGAGCGTTTATGAGCCAATGAAGACTATTGGATTTTAGTTTTAGATGAATTTTCTTAGCTTCGATATGTCTCCGCCAAGGTACGTTACATCGTCAGCTTGTGGAAGTGGCGTGTTATTCAGAGTTAGCGGGGGACACGTTTGTCTGTTAAGAGTAAACGTTATGTGTTTACACTTTTGCGCTTTTATTTTTATACGCCAGTCTGATAACCACCTCTCCAATACCACGAGATGATAGTAGTGCTGTTGCCTGAATTGGGCATTTGGACCGACTTAGGATTGCGGTATCGTCTGCGAATGTAGAAGTAGTTAGCCGCTCGTTCGTGGGAATATCTGCGGTATAGAGGAGAAATAGAGTTGGACCAAGGGCGTTACCTTGTGGAACTCCAGCCTCTATCGTGTAATCTTCGGATGTTGTTGTGTTGCATCTCACGGCGAAGGCTCTGTTGTAAAGGTATGATTCAAGTATCCTGTGAGTGTTTTCCGGCAGTAAAATTCTGATTTTATGCATAAGGCCATCGAGCCAGACTCGGTCGAAAGCCTGCGCAACGTCAACGAATACCGCACTGCAGTAGTCCCGAAGCTCGAATGCAGTTCGTATTTTTGTTGTCAATCTATTGACTTGCTCTACTGTTCCATGGATTTCTCGAAAGCCAAATTGATGTGCCGGAATAACGTTGTGCTCTTTCAGATGTGGGATTATGCGCGTCAGAAAGCATTTTTCGAGCAGTTTTGACAGACACGAGAGTAAACTTATCAGTCTGTATGAAGCTGGTATTGTGTGATCTTTTCCTGGCTTTGGGATCATTATGATTACCGACTTTTTCCATTTTTTTGGGAAGTAGCCAAGTCGTGTTATTCCGTTAAAGAGTTTACAAATTACCTCAACTGCACAGTTTGCAATGAGCAACTTAGAAGTTATTAGATCACCTCTATTTTTTGTTTTTAATTGCTCGCTGATGACTTTTGCAACTTCTTTTGGTTGAAACAGAATTAGCGTCGTCTCAGTTCCAATTTGAATTGAAGGCGACGGTAGTGTGAATGAGTTATTTGCAGGGTTTGGCTGAATAACATTTCGAAGGTTTAAAGCAAATGTACAAACTCTGTCTTTGTCGCTTCTGGCCCAATTGCCTGAAGAGTCTCTTATGGGAATTACTGTTTCGGCCAGCGCCGTCGCCCTCCACAAAGGATGCTGGCGGTTGAAAGTTTCTCAATGTACTGGCTCGATTAATTCCAGGCTTTCAAGAAAAGTTATTAGCACTGGTGAGTGTCCGATGATAGATCCAAAAGCGATTTTGCAGATATTAGTTTGCGAGGAATATTTTTTGTCACAGCAAAATCAATTAAATCAGGTAGTTTCCTAGGATCTGTAGGCCAGTATGTCGGACTGCCTGGTGAAACCTAGTCCAGTTTGTTGCATGTTTTGATTAGTGCATTAA